GCCTCAATGCATTCAATGTATTGAAGGAAAGCTTACCACAGCGCCTGTTTTGACGGCCCCAGACTGGAGTCTTCCTTTTGAACTTATGTGTGATGCGAGCGCATACGCAATGGGTGCAGTATTGGGTCAGCGTAAGAACAAGTTGTTGCATGTTATTTACTATGCTAGCAAGGTCTTTAATGCGGCACAGCACAACTATGCCACTACTGAAAAAGAGATGCTAGCAGTAGTTTATGCTTTAGATAAATTTAGATCTTATTTGATAGGTTCTAAAGTTATTGTATTCACTGACCATGCTGCTCTTAAGTATTTGATGACCAAGCAGGATGCAAAGCCGCGGTTGCTACGATGGATGCTCTTGTTTCAAGAGTTTGATTTGGAAATCAAAGACAAAGCGGGAGTGGAGAATAAAGTGGCAGACCACTTGTCTAGGATTCAAGATAAGAACTTACAAGAAGGACCTGAAATTGAGGTCAATGAATCTTTTCCTGATGAGCAAGTGATGGCAGTACTTATGCATCCATGGTTTGCAAACTTTGCAAATTACAAAGCTGCTGGTTCAATGCCCGAAGGTCTAACGTGGCAGCAGAAGAAGAAATTCCTTCATGATACAAGGAGATACCACTGGGATAACCCTTTTCTCTATTTTCAATGTGCTGATGGTGTTATTCGCAGGTGTGTAGCGGAATTCGAGATGTCGGATATTTTGTGGCATTGTCATGCATCTGACTATGGAGGACACTTTGGAGGCAACAGAACTGCACAGAAGGTGTTGCAAAGTGGGTATTATTGGCCCACAATTTTCAAGGATGCACGAGACTTTGTAGAGCGATGTGATAAGTGCCAGAGGACGGGAAACATATCCCGCAAAGATGAGATGCCCCTCAACTGCATACTGGAGGTAGAATTATTTGATGTTTGGGGGATTGATTTTATGGGACCATTCCCTACATCATATTCCAACCAATACATCCTGGTGGCTGTGGACTATGTGTCCAAGTGGGTAGAAGCGGTTGCTTTGCCCACAAATGATGCCAAAGTCGTGGTCAATTTCTTGCGAAAAAACATTTTCACCCGATTTGGAGTTCCTCGTGCAATCATCAGTGATGGTGGTACGCACTTCTGCAATAGACAGTTTGAGAGCTTGCTTACAAAGTATGGTGTCACTCACAAAGTAGCTACACCATACCATCCTCAGACCAGCGGACAAGTTGAAATCTCCAATAGAGAGTTGAAGAGGATACTAGAGAAAACAGTGGGCAACTCAAGAAAGGACTGGGCTAAGAAACTGGATGATGCACTCTGGGCATACAGGACAGCATTCAAAACACCAATAGGTATGTCACCATTCCAACTGGTGTATGGTAAGTCTTGTCATCTTCCCGTAGAATTAGAGCATAGAGCTTTGTGGGCGATTAAATTTTTAAATTTTGAACCATCAAAAGCTAATAATAAGAGACTGCTACAATTAAATGAGTTAGATGAGTTCAGGTTAGCAGCTTATGAGAATGCCAGGATCTACAAAGAGAAGACAAAGAAATGGCACGACAAGAAAATTCAGCCAAAAGAATTTGAGCAGGGACAACAGGTATTGTTATACAACTCTCGACTGCGGTTGTTCCCAGGTAAACTTAAGTCTCGTTGGTCCGGTCCTTTTGTTGTTAAGAAGGTATTTCCCTATGGTACAGTTGAGATTTCCCCTCTCAACATTGAAAGACCTTTTAAAGTCAATGGGTGTCGATTGAAGATCTATCATGGCGGAGACATATATAGGGACACAATTTCTGTTCCTTTACTTTCTCCAGAAACTTAAAGAGTCCGTGTCAGGCTCGTGACGTTAAACAAGCGCTAGTTGGGAGGCAACACAATAGTTTTGAGTCATTTTCATTATTTCACTCTGTCAGTTTTTTTTTATATATATAGTTCAGTCTTGACCCATTTAGGCAACCGGCGCTCCTAGCTCCTAGTACGGTGTCGGCGGCGCCAAGTTCGCGCCTAGTGCGCCGTGTCTGGCGCCTCAAGCGCCCGCTGGCCCTGTCGGGCCAAATCACCGGCGCTCCGAGCGGCCGTTGAGGCGCCGTAAGCGCCATGTTGGCGTCTGGTGCGCTATATCATGCGCCAAAGGCGCCTTAACAGCCCGTCGGTTCTGTTTCGACGGCGCCCCGTGCGCCACACCTGGCGCTGAGGGCGCGGAGGCGTTGCCAATTAAAAAAAAAAAAAAATAGAAAATTTTAAAATACAAAAAAAAATAAACCCCCCATTTCCCCTTAACCGTTGCCCACTCTTCATCTCCCACATTCTCTCACCTTTTCATTCCACTTCATCTCTCATTTTATATCTCTCTCACTTTTACCAACACACATTACATCTCTCATTTCATTCCACACACTAAGTTTCAAGGAAGGAACAACTCTCATACTCTTCTCTCTTTCTGAATCTCTCCACAAAGAACACTCACTGCTACGTCTGGTAGCAAGCGGGCTTGGCTTTGATGCTACTAGATTTCTTTCACTGGAATGCCAGCAGCGATCATTGAGAATGGCTGGAGGCCCACTGACATTAAAAATGTTTATCTGGAGGAAATGCCTGAGTTGGCTGACACTATAAGGCGTGGGATTACATGTCTGTATGCTACATGGAAGCCCAAAGTTGGCCTCGCTCATGTTCCGGAGAAACTAAAAAGAAACGAGCTGACAGGTGAGGCAGCTTTTTGGCACAATTTTAATAATGCTACAGTGATCCCTTCTACAAACGTGAGTGATGTAAATGTGGAAAGAGCTATTCTGCTTTATGTGCTGATGAGAGAGGACTCCCTTGACATTGGTAGAGTGCTATCTGATCGGATCCTCAAAGTCATTCAAGATGGCAACAGCAAGAATCGGATTGCACACTCATCATTGATTATGCATCTGTGTGTTAAGGCTGGAGTTGTCATTTTGCCTGAGGAACCCTTAGATGTCCTAGTGGAAAAGACTATGACACTTAAAAACTACACAGATCTAGTCAAAGAAGCTGAGATTGAGCAGATTGTCCGAGCTTCTAAGTTAACTTCTGAAGAATTAGCTGCTCGAAGCCCCCGCAGAGCACCACGCGCTTCATCAGAGGAGCCACGTCCAGAGACACCCATCCGTGCACGGGCATCTTCTTCTTCCACATTCCGAATTCCACGACACGACCTCGTTTACGAGGATTCTCCCAGTTATTTACAGATGCAGTCTCAGCTGGACCGTTTGGTCATTCAGAGCGAAAGACAGATTATGCAGGGAGATTACCATACTCATATGTTTGAGGACATTTGCAGGAGCATGTCTATTGACTATACTGCCTATCAGCCACAGTATCCACCAGTCCCACAGTCATATCGTCCACCTGCATCACCTCCACCACCAGCGGACCAACACGACACCATGGATGAGGAGTGATTATGGAAGACATCACCTACTTTCCTGTTTTGCTGTTTGTTTTATTTTATTTTATTTTTATTTTCAATTTTCGTTGTTTTTGTTTGACCATCTAGGCTTTTGTTCGGGTCATTTGAACCTCTTTGGTATTTTGGGTTGTAATTCTCCAATACATTGGTTATGTTATTTTCGGCCTGATATTTCACATGTGTGATGTTTATACTTGTGCAGCAGTATTTTCTCCGACTACTTTAGTTATTGCTGAGGACAGCAATATTCTAAATCTGGGAATTGGGGCCGCATACACGGCAATCGAGGTATCACACACAGAAAAGATTCAGCGGATTCATAGCTACTTCAGGGGAGTTTTTTTTAACCTTTCTCGTTATTTTCATTTTTTATTTTTTCATTTTGGTAGAAATTTTGTGTTTTTAGTTTCATTTCCTGCTATATGAAAGCACAGTCCTGATTTAGATGTGCTACTCAGTCAATTCCATGGTTGAATATGAGGAAGCATTGCATGATATGCAAGATTGTCATGACATTGCATAGAGCATGAATAGAGATTATGATTGCTCGTTTGTTTGATTTCTATGATAATGATGCTTGAAATGAAATTAAGAAGAGTCTAGCTTGATACCACAGCTTGTGAGGTTTGTGCCTATACAGTTACTTTTTTTTTTTGATAGTCCTCACTGCAGTGGTACTCTAGAACTTGATCTAATTCTCTCCAATGCATGTGTTGATTGAAGTGATTGAGGCATTTTGTTCTATTAAGCTTATGGCCAAATAGCTACCTGAGAAATCATCCATTGTTAGCCATGTTGAGCCTGAGACCAATTTTTTTTTTTTTTTTTAATTACCTTATTAAACTATTTAGACCACTTCCATCAAAACTTACCTTTATTGAGATTGAAATGTCAATAATCAAAAAGTTAGAAGAAATTGAGGTAAGCTCCACTAGAAGTTAAGAAGCAGTTGAAAAGGAAAAGAAAAGAATAGTTCTCACATGAATATAAAGAGAAAGAAAAATAAATTGCAAAAATTGACAAGCAATGATGAAGGAAAAAGTGAGAAAAAGGAAGGAATCATGAATTCGAATAAAAAGTGGTACTGAAACTTGAATTGAGAGATGATTGAGTATTAATGAAAATGGTGTTTCAATCTCAATAATTATTCAGCTACTCTCCAAAAGATTCTAACCTTAAGCCAAGCCAAGTTATAACCTTAAGAAGCCCTTTTGATCAATCAGGCATGTGTTAATGTTCCTCATCTTTAGGAACTTGAGAAAAAGATCAAGCTTATGGTAGTACAACAGCTGTGATGAAATGAGTGATGATGAATGACCCTAAACACTGAGTGATGAGTGAATATCATGTCTTGTGAGGGGTAATCAAGTTAGACTCTGATGTTTGAATGTAGTTGATGAGCATCATCTTAAGTTTGACGTGGAAATCATTCATGCTTAGTATAGTGATCTTTATGATTGTCTGTGCAATGTTGTGCTTGATTGATTGAACCTTGCTTCCCATGCTTAAATTCTGTTTATTGCTGAGGACAGCAACATCTAAATCTGGGAATTGTTTGATGTGCGTCTAGCATATGATGTTTTCTAACTTGAAAGAAGCAAGGAATTAATCATAAAGGAGTGAAAATAGTCATTAAATGCAAGAAATATTGATTATTCCTTCTCAATCATGTTCTCACTCGAGTTATATGTTTAAATAGCAGGAAACACCGCAAAAAGGAGCAAAAACGGAGAAACCAAATTTCCCGCTGGCGCACGACGCGCGGCGGTTGGCGCACGGAGCGCCAAACTGGCGCACAGGGCGCGGTACTTGGCGCACGGGGCGCCAAATCGAAGATTTGCTTCTGTTTCGGTCGCGCACGAAGCGCGGGAGGTGGCGCACGACGCTCCAACCTGGCGCCCGTAGCGCGGGAGTTGGCGCACGGAGCGCGGGACTGGCGCACGGCACTCCAGAGTTGGCGCCCGGGGCGCCGTTTACAGATTCAGCTTCTGTTTCTCCCAAGTTTGGGGCGCCAGGCTTGGCGCCCCGTGCGCGGGCGATATATTTTTAAGTGCGAATCAGCTAAAATAAGGCCCAATTGGAGTGCAAAGGGAAATAGGTTTTCCCAAAACCTAATAAAAGGATCAAAAACATAAGAAAAATGACTTTTTGGAGAATCAAGAAGAGAAAAACAACAAATAAAGCAGAGAGTCCTTGGAGCTTCTCGGAGATTCAAGGGTTCGATCGATCCAGACGGAAGATCTTCATCTTCCCTTTCTCTTCTAGGTTTTAAATGCTACTTTCTTTTATTGTTATTTTGTCAGACATGAACATGTCTGGCTAGTTTTATCATTGTGGTAAGGGTCACAACCCTTGATGTGAACCCCTTGTTCCTTGGTTGAAATTTATGTTTATCTATTTTAATTGCATTTATCTTTTCTTGTTCTTCATTCTATAATTCTATTGGAACTGATCAATCTAGTAGGGTTGCGAGGGTTAGGGTTACAACAGGGATGTTGGAATTCTAATTCCTGACAAAGAATAAGATAGCTGTTCATGTACGCACTAGGGATAGGCTACATGAACAGCGAACGTTAAAGGTTCATTGATTCTAAGGGTTAACTCGAAAAGGGATTTCTAAGGGATTAGGATTCTAATAGAGTTAACAAGGTTAAAGTCACTAAGGGATTAGGGCTTAACTACTCATATAAAAGATGATGAATTGTTCGATCAATTGAATAGGTAAATGTAAACGTAATCCAAGTTGCAAGGTGGGGATCGGAAAGGTGTTTGTTTCTCTTTACCGCAATATTTTCTCAAATATTTTCTCAATCCTTAATCTTTTGTTCTTGCATTCTGAAAACACTTTTGGAATCATTTACATTTTTACTTTAATTATTTTAGTTTGTTTCATGAACTACAATCATTCTCAACCTATTTTGATTAATCCAACAAGAGAGGAATAGTTATAACAACTTAGGTGCCTCAATCCTCGTGGAGACGATACTCTACTCACTCTTTATTACTTGGTACGATCGGTGCACTTACCGATTTTATGCAACAGTTGTGAAGGAATATGACCTTGCAAATCTTACAAATTCAGAAGAGTTTTATGCATCAGGGAACAATTTCACTTTAAAAGTGGGTCCCAATTGGCATCCCACTTGTCAGCTTAGCAATTTGGAAATGAGCTCGTGGCAGTTAGGTCCCAACTTTCCGTCATGGATTCAGTCACAAAAAGATCTTGAGACTTTGGTTATGTCCAACACAGGAATTTCAGATTCTATCCCTACATGGTTTTGGGAAACACTTTCTGATGCTTCCTATGTAAACCTATCTCATAATGATATCCACGGTGAGCTTGCTATTATATTAAAGAATCCAATATCTATCCAATTCATTGATCTAAGCTCAAATCACTTGCATGGGAAATTACCTCATCTATCACTTTATGTGAATTGGTTGGATCTTTCAAACAATTCATTCTCTGGATCCATGACTGATTTCCTATGTAAAAAACAAGATGAGTCAATGACATTACGATATCTCAATCTTGGAGCAAATAATTTATCAGGGGAAATACCTGATTGTTGGATAATGTGGCCATATCTGGTGGAGGTGAATTTACAAAGCAACCATTTTGTTGGTAACTTACCCCCATCCATGGGTTCCTTAGCTGAGCTAGATTCTTTGAACATCCGTAACAACTCACTATCTGGAATATTTCCTCCCATTTTGAAGAGAACTAGTAAGTTGATTTCCTTGGACCTTGGGGAAAATAAACTTACAGGAATTATTCCAGCATGGGTTGGAGAAAGGTTCTTAAAATTGAAAATTCTTCGCCTTCGGTCAAACAGATTGTTGGGTCATATTCCTAATGAAATATGTGATATGATTTTTCTTCAAGACTTGGACCTTGCAGAAAACAATTTGTCTGGAAATATACCAAAATGTTTCAACCACTTGAATGCCATGTTGCTAAAAAACAGGCCTATGAATTCACTCATCTATACCATTACAACTAGCTGGGTCGGTACACAGGGTATAGTTAGTACACTCCTATGGGTGAAAGGAAGAGGTATAGAGTACAGAAATATTCTTGGCTTGGTGACAAATGTTGATCTTTCTGATAATAATTTATCTGGAGGGATACCCAGAGAAATTACAAATCTAGATGGATTGATTTATTTGAACTTGTCCAAGAATCAGTTGATTGGCCAAATTCCACCCAGCATTGGCAATATGAGATCATTAGAATCCATTGATTTCTCAAGGAATCAACTTTCAGGAGAAATCCCTTCAACCATATCAAACTTAAGCTTTCTTAGCAAGCTTGACTTGTCTTATAATCATTTGTGGGGGGGAATTCCAACAGGCACTCAACTGCAAAGCTTTGAAGCATCCAGTTTTGTTGGCAATAATCTATGTGGTCCGCCACTGCTCGTCAACTGTAGTTCCAGTCGGAAAATTCCTAATGATGATCACAAAGGCAAAAAGAGTGATAGCCATAAAGTGAATGGGTTTTTTGTGAGTATGACATTTGGATTTATTGTGGGATTCTGGGCAGTGGTCGCTCCATTGTTCATTTATAGATCATGGAGGTATGCCTATTTTCGTTTTCTTGATGACATGTGGAACAAAGTGCAATGTTTTTGGAGATTGTAATTTTGTAATGTAGTATTACTATTTTATATGTTGTGGAAAATAAAATCATGATTGTAACCGTTAGTGCAACCTATTAGTTTGAGAATATAGAAATAAATCTAATTAGTATTATTATCTTCTTCGCTTTCTTCCTTTCAAACTGTTCCTGTTATCATTGTTCATTAAGGTATCCATCGAAATGTATTTGTAAAGAACCAATTCAACCCAAAAGCTTAAGCTGTTGGGTGAGGCTACATTAATGATTTTATATATCTCAACATGCCCTTTCACACGAGAGCCCACTGGACTTTAAGGGTGGACAATGCACAGGCCCACCTACCTGTGCAAACAAAGAAATTCCACTTGAAAGAATGTGGGGGGCGACGAGGATCGAACCCGGGACACGAGGCTCTGATACCATGTAAGAGGAGATGAATGCGTTGGAGAAAAATAAAACATGAGAAGTTATTGATAGACCCAATGGAAAGAAAGCAGTAGGGTGCAGATGGGTTTATGCCCTAAAGTATAATTCTGATGGCACTCTTGAGAGATATAAGGTTCGATTAGTCGCCAAGGGTTACACTCAGACCTATGGCATTGATTATGAAGAAACCTTTGCTCCAGTTGCAAAGATGAATACGGTGAGAGTCTTGTTATCCCTTGCTGCCCATTACAATTGGGATATAAATCAATTTGATGTGAAGAATGCTTTCCTTAATGGTGAGTTAGAAGAAGAAGTCTACATGGAAATCCTGCCTAGTTTTGATTATGTGGATGGAGAAAATAAAGTTTGTAGATTAAGAAAAACCTTGTATGGATTGAAGCAGTCACCTCGTGCCTGGTTTGGGAGGTTTACTAAGGTTATGATGACCTTAGGATACAAACAGAGTCAAAGAAATCACACTCTTTTCTTTAAGCACTCTCAAGATGGGAAGCTCATTGTGCTCCTTGTATATGTTGATGATATTATTATAACAGTTGATGATTTTATGGAGAGATATATTCTGCAAACACGACTAGCCTCTGAGTTTGAAGTTAAAGACCTTGGGAAACTGAGATATTTCCTAGGAATAAAGGTAGCTCATTCAAACAAAGGAATTTTTATCAGTCAGAGGAAATATGTTCTTGATCTTCTCAAAGAAGTAGGAAAGCTTGGGTGTAAACCCTCGAATACTCCTATTGAGCATAATCACAAGATATGTTATGAAGAGGAGAGTCATCCAGTTGATAAAGGACAATATCAACAGCTAGTTGGGAAACTGATATATCTGGCTCATACTAGCCAGACCTAGCTTATGCTGTTAGTGTTGTCAGTCAGTTTATGCACGATCCAAAGGAGAAACACATGCAGGCAGTGGAGAAAATTCTTCAGTATCTTAAATTCACTCTTGGTAAAGGACTATTATTCTGGCGTGATGGCGATCTCTCTTTAGAAGTTTACACTGATGCTGATTATCCTGGATCTGTGACTGACCGTCGTTCTACCACTGGTTATTGTATGTTTCTTTGTGGTAACTTGGTGACGTGGAGAAGTAAGAAACAAGATGTAGTTTCTAGATCAAGTGCAGAGGCTGAATTTCGAGCTATGGCTTAAGGTATTTGTGAGTTATTGTGACAGAATATTGTACTTGATGATCTCAAAATAAAATGTGAGCGACCTATGATGCTGTTATGCGATAACAAGTCCGCTATTTGTATAGCTCATAATCCAGTTCAATATGATCGGACTAAACATATTGAGGTCGACCGCCATTTCATCAAAGAGAAACTTGATAGCGGGTTGATTACCACTCCATACATTCCCACTGGGCGTCAATTAGCTGATGTATTGAAAAATGAACTTCCTTCAAACAGATTTCAAGAGCTTACTAGCAAGCTGGGAATGATAAATATCTATTCCTCAGCTTGAGAAGGAGTATCAGAGCCTCGATTCTGATACCATGTAAAGAACCAATTCAACCCAAAAGCTTAAGCTATTGGATGAGGATACATTAATGGTTTTATATATCTCAACACGCCCCCTCACAAAGACAGCCCACTGGGCTTGAAGGGTGAACAATGCACAGGCCCACCTACCTGTGCAAAGAAAGAAATTCCACTAGAAAGAAAGTGAGGGGCGGTGAGGATCGAACCCGGGACACGAGGCTCTGATACCATGTAAAGAACTAATTCAACCCAAAAGCTTAAGTTGTTAGGTGAGGCTACATTAATGATTTTATATATCTCAATAGTATTTATATATTTCTTTTAGTTCTAACACACTCTGAATCAACCATTTGTGTCCTATCATAAGTATACATTATTTTGCTACAATAGATTAGATAAAATGAAACTGAAAAATGGTTTTATACCAAATTAGATTTTAGAAAACTAGCATAAATATAGAGGAAGGAATATACTAATTATCTATCAGTTACTATTAGTGTTTTCATTATGATGCCATATATGAAGTCGATTCACCTTAACCTTCAATTACCATACTCATCCATTGCATGATGAAGCTATTATGATGTAACATCCTCGTCTCGAGCCGGTTCAATTAACATACATATGATACAAACAGAAACAGCGGAAGACTTAACTTACGAAAATACGAGCTAACTTTTTTTTTTTTTATTCCTTTTTCACATGACATATCACATTGCATACTTCTTCTAATTTAATTCTTATTTGACGGAGACGAAAATCGGACAGAGTAACCTCTGTAAATCGGTCAACTGGGGATTTGCAAATCCCACTCTCAAGGTACCCTGATAGACAATTTATACAGTATATACTTTCAGACATACCAGCTATCCATATAGGATCATATACCCATCAATGGGCGCATGCATAACTTGGCTCCGTGCCACTATGTCTAACAGCATGCAATCCAACACATAAACATAAACTTAATACTACATCATCATATCAACATGCCTGAATACTCAAATGTACATGCATCCAACTGAAAGACATGTACAAAACATATATAGGCCATATACAAAATAAAGGATCAGACATCATGATCACCAAATGAATAGAACACTATACAACAGTACATATTCTCCAAAAATAACATCTATAATAAATAGTAGCCTCCGGCTACCCAGAAATCCATATCCTCATACTAGTACCTCTAGCCACGGGTAGTGTCCTTGTCCTATGAAGGCTCTCCAATTAACTGTGTTCTTGAAATCATATCCCCAAATGGGGTTAGAGACGAATCTCTAGCAAGCTCCAGGTTTATAGAGAACTCTCCATACCCTGGGCTCACTTCCTGCACGACAGTCAGATACATAATATACAGAACATCACATATCATACTATACTGAATATATATTGTATAACATATCATATAATCAAATATCATAACTAAACAAAGCATATACACAAATCTTATCAAAGACGTACGCAGTCATTCCCAAGGGATGACCCCAAGCGGAAATCAACGCACGTAACAAATATCATATACAAAAATCATCACAATAATCGCATCAGAACAAAGCATATCATATCAGAGATGTACGTAGTCATTCCCAAGGGATGACCCCAAGCAGAAATCAACGTACATGTTCCCAAGGGAGGACCCCAAGCGGAACCAAAAACATATCAGAGATGTACACTATCAGTCCTGAGGGATGACCCCAAGCAGACTTCAGTGCACATAGGATCAATGGCCAAAGATCATCACATAACAGAGTGTACACAATCAATCCCAAGGGAGGACCCCAAGCGGAAATCAGTGCACATGTTCCCAAGGGAGGACCCCAAGCGGAACTCAACATATAACAGATATATACACAGTCAGTCCCAAGGGAGGAACCCAAGCGGACATCAGTGCATAAACAAATCAATGTCCAAAAATCGTTACAGAAATCATATCGAAACATATCAAAGTAAACACATCAAAAGATATCAAAGTAAACACATCAAAACATATCAAATTAAACACATCAAAATATATCAAATTTAACACATCAAAACATATCATATCACATCATCATATTGCTCTATATGAATGCATCTATATCATATATCTCATACATATCATGCAACCTGACCACAGTCCGTACACTATAGCGGAACGCAAAGTAGGAGTGAACCCCATAAACATAGAGCTTACCTCTTGAAGCTTTACTAATTCGCTTACTTGTCACACAAGTTACTTATCTTGCTCCACGAGAATCCAACGTTCAGAGTCCCTAGGCACACCTAGAGAAGGAATTCAACACAAAACTCAATAAAATGATATAACGCCATGTAAATATACAAGACACACACTTTATTGTTTATTTTCTTTTTACTTAATCATATTAAGTCATGAGTGGGTGGTTCTTTGTTCAACAAATCCCCACAAAATTTCACATATTCACTTAGTCTTAGGATAGTCCCAAAAGGTCCTTAGAACACTCATTACTCCTCTTAGCACCTAAAAGCCATTTTTTCTCAATTTAAGACAGAATGCCCATTACAAAGGAGCTATAAGATTTCTCTTTGTCTAGTGCCTAAACCCAAGCTTAGCCACCTATATAAATTATTTTACGCATATAAGTGTTCTCACTTTGCGAAACAATATCTCCGAACATATACCTCTTTTGAAAATGGTCAAAGCTCATTTTAAGGCCATACAAAGGAGCTACCTTATTTTCTTTTTTTATTTCACCAAAGCGAAGGTCCATACAACTTAGAATATTATTCCACGCATACTAGTATGCTCGCTTTGTTAAACAGTAACTCATAGCACATATTTCATTTAAAAATGGCTAAGAGGCACATAAAGGAAATCATGCCAACTTCATGATTCCAATGCTTTAGTCCATCAAATTCAAGCTTATCACACATCTCTAATCCAATATTCATTAATTCATATATACGGTATTGTTCATCTCTACAGTACTATTCATGTATACGTCACTATTCACGTATACGACACTATTCAAAAATACGGTATCTTTAATTTTCCAAATACATTTTCACCGTTAAAATTCTCATCTAAACACTTTTCTCAACATGAGCTAAGCCTCAATCAAGCTCTAACA